CTTTTTAAACATCTGGGCTCAGAGGAATCCAAATAACTTCAGTTATTCCTGGAATTCATGACAGGGTAATTGATCATTAGACCTGAGGGCCTCAGCAGTACCTCCACAGTACTATCAGTGATGTGTCATCACACTGTACAACAAGTGGAGACACGTTGCTGCACTAAATGCAGCCTCAGATATGCTCTAACACAACATGCTTAACACTGAAACACTATGCTCAGTGTTACGTCCTAAATACAGGAGAAGATTTATTACGTTTAACGGCGTCGATGACACAACTGGAGCAACTTCCTGCTTCCACACAACAAACTCTCCTCTTTCACATCTCCTACTGCCTGAATGTAAAAGTTAACATAACATCTGCACTTAATGTTTAGCTTTTGGTGACATGGTTGGAAATATGTTGATTTATTTTCATATGTATTTTTAAAGGTGGACTAAACTATGTTGGGAGGCATTTATAATGTTTTTTTTTCTCCACGTTTAGATGCACGAGGGAGAGCAGAATATTAGAAATATGAATATAATCCAATACAAAAGCACACTTTATGACAACAACATTCTACGCAACATAAAAGTAGTCTGTATGGCACAACACTTGTGATTCTCACTTCTAATTCTAATTCTACCTGCATGAGCGGCATCATCGTAGTAGTAGTAGTACTAGTAGTAGTATTAGTAGTAGTAGTAGTAGAACACTGTAAGATGAAGGTTTTATGTTTGTTTTTTCTAGGAAATTATTGATTTTTCCAGTTATTGTGCTTATGTTTTCAAATACCAGCTGAATGCTTAATATTAAAAAATTAAAGTATCAAATTTTAAAATAAAAGTAAATAGAAATGGGATATTTTCAAAGAGTGAAGGATCAAATCAAAAATCTATATAATCAGCTTTATTCCTGCACTTTATGACCAAATACCAACATTAGATGCATAAGAACTTTGAGTTATTGTCAGTTTTATAAAATTAAAATAAAACCCTTTATAGTGCATCTGATGGAGTCGACATAAATCAAATTATAAAATGCATAAAGGTCAGATTTTAAATAGAAACACATCCTCAACCAAAAGCCGTCCCTTCACGGGATTACTAGTTGAGACCAGTTCAAATTAATCTGTGTTTAGAAGAAGAAAAAAAATCCAATTTTAAGCATGTTTTGTCCCTTATCTCAGGAGTCTATCCATCCATCCATCATCTATACACCGCTTAATCCTCATTAGGGTCATGGGGGGGCTGGAGTCTATCCCAGCTGACTTAGAGTGAAGGCAGGAGACACCCTGGACAGGTCACCAGTCTATCACAGGGCTACACTTAGAGACAGACAACCAAGCACACTCACATTCACACCTACGGACAATTTAGAATCACCAATTAACCTCAACATGTTTTTGGACTGTGGGAGGAGGCTGGAGAACCTGGAGAGAACCCACGCTGCACGGGGAGAACATGGAGACTCCACGCAGAGAGATCCCGGTGCCCCCACCAGGACGCTCAAGAATCAGTGACATATTAATAAATACACTAAATAATTAAAGCAATAAAATCATAATAGTCAAGTTAAATCAAGTCATTGTTATTTATAAAGTACACTGAAAACAACAGCCAGTGTAATGAATACAGAAACAAGATTGGTGTTGCTAACAAGTTTAAATATAAGTGTCATTTATTTTGAAATGTAGCTAAATAATTCAAATATTACAGGTGAGACTCTACAATATTTACCTGCTACAGCTTGATTATTTATCTGCAACAGTGTTTTTAATGAGTGATACTGATCAGACCACGGCTCAGATTAAATGTAAGAATAAAAATAACAAAGGTGGAGCTTCACTGCACCAACAGGAGTTTAATAGATGCCTTCATCTGTCATCATTTGGGCTCTACAGGCAGCTTTTTACACAACAGGTTCATTTATTATTGCATATACAAGCAAATTTTATGGCCGCGTTCTTTCTAATTCACCCTGAACACAAGAGACAGATATGGCATTTAGAGGAGATTTACTTTATTTGACAAGTTCATTATTTGACATAATCGGTGCAGACGGGGTTTGAAAAACGACTAAATAACTCTGAGTAGAGCTCTAATTGGGCGCAATAAGTGCAAACAGCTGTGCACCGACGCTGAGCTTACTCACGGTGGCCACACGGGGGCAGAATGTCCTCACTGGTGGAGGGAAAACACTCCCCTGCTACTTTTTATGACCTTGTCAAGTTGATGGATGCTGGTTGTGTAGAAAGAAAGAAAAAACAGGAATCACAAATTGGGTTTGAGATAATTAAGATTGAATTGAGAACAGCAGAGATAATGAGTGAGTTACTGCTGGTGCTCTGACAAACACAAATACACCAGCTGCTTAACAGGCTCGACAACTTTGTTAAGCAAAGTTTTCGTGTGTGTTGGTTTTGTAAGCTGTGAGGTCACACAACAGGCCGCGCTGCAGCCTAGTGAAGCTATGCCAGGAATGCAACTTAGGGCCTTTTAAAGAGGTCAGTGTTTCACGGAGGCTGCAGACAATTAATACGGAAACAGCGCAGTCACACAGCGTTTACTTATGAGGAAATAGGAAGAGCTCTGCTGTGGGTTTCTTTACTCGCCGGTTTCAGGAGTGACCTCACCGACATGACAGGCCTGGATTTGCATATCAGCTACACGGTGAATATATAACGAAGGTGCTGCACACAGGAGCCGCCTTGTAATTCAACTTTACTGCACGTCAGTGGAATGCTGCTTTACAATTTAATAACTGAAACTGGATGTGTGATTAGATTCAATCTGTGTAAAGTTGTTCAAATCTGCTCCAACTCGACCAAAAACAAACTAATCTGCTGCTTACACATTATTGTTGTGTCTGTAATCATGACACCGTAAAACCTTTTACGTCCCCTACTTCAGTCTTTACTTTGTGTGCTTGAGTAAAAATTGAATCCAGGTGTTTGTGTTATTGTGCTATTAAAACCTAATAGATCTACTTCATTGGCTCTATAGTACATTCTTTCCAAAGTGCAAAGAGAGAACTGTAACTGGATCTTCTGACAATAATTGTTGAGATTTCCATCAGTCAGTTTGTAGACATATTAAATGTGATGTTTGCGTTAGTCTGATAAATTTGTCTCTTAACCCTAATATTAAAAATAATCAAGAAAATGTATATTATATCTCATATTCAATGGTTTTAGCCATAACATTTACATTAATTAATTAAGCGTGTATAAAAGATGATACTTTATGGTCTTAAACTTAATATTTCAATTAGACAAGTCATTTTGTGTTGTATCAATACTACAGGGTTCTGACCTTCATATTTTAATTAGTCAGTCAAACGTATATTATATTAGTATTGTTGGCTCTTGATCTTAATGTTTAAATTGCACAGGTAAACTGGTGTTATATCTGATATTGCAGAGTTTTATCCTTAATTTAAAGATGGATTAGGTTTGTGTCATAAATTATATCACAAGTTCTTGAACACAATATTTATGTTAGTCAGGCAAATTTCAGATTAGGCATAATATTGTAGGGTTATAACAATAATATTTTAACTTCATAGTTAAGTTTGCTAAAACCCTTTAATATTATAACCCCTGTGAGGTATTAACCTTAAGATTTTAGTTTGGTAGCTAAATTTGTATTAAACATAATATTGTAGGGTGTTAACCGTTATACTTGAACTTGTAGGGTACAATTTTTGTGATAAATAATAACCTTAGTATTTAAATTAGTCATTTAAATATTCATCACAAGTAATATTGTAGGGCGTTAACCTTAATAATTAAACTTGTTAGGTACAGTTGAGTAATAAATATTATGAAGTTTAATCATTTTTAACTAAGTCAAGGTAATTTATATAATAAATATAATTGTAGGGCCCATAGGTTAATATCAAAATTAGCTGAATAAATCTGTACAATAAATGATATTGTAGGGTCTGAATCTAATATCTAAATTATATTCAAATTATATCTGATACTGTTGGTCTGTCTGTCTTTATATGTTTAATACTCAAACTTATAAATACTACTATAGGGTCTTAATCCAATAAATTTTTACAATAAATAATATTATATGGTCTGAAAAATAATATTTAATTTTATATTATATGTAATACTGTAGGTCCCTCTGTCTTTATATGTCTGTTTGTGTTATAAATATTAATCTAACGTCTTAACCTTAGTATTTAGACAGGAAAATTTAGATTACATATGATATAGTCTTATATTAATATTGTAGGGCCTTAATCTTATAATTAAACTTGTTAGACACAATTGTGTAACATATAATATTATAGAGTCTTCAATAACATTATACAATAAATATAAATGTCTGAATTTCCCTTTAGGGGATCAATAAAGGATTATCTTATCTTCACTGTAGGGCCCCACTGTTAATATTTAAATTAGTTGAATACATTTGTACAATGATGAATATTATAGGGTCTAAGCCTTAATGTCTACATTTAAACGATATCGTATACTGTAGGTGTGTCTGTCTTTATATGTTTAATATATTAGGTAAGTTTGTGTTAGAAACATGAATATAGAGTCTTAACCTTAAGATTTAAATTAGTCAGGAAAACTTAGATTACATATGATATTGTCTTATATTAATATTGTAGTGCCTTGATCCTATTGTTTCAGCTTGTTAGGTAAATGTTTGTATTTAATATCATTATATGGCATCAATCGGTTAAATTTAGTCATTTATAATATTGTATGGTCCTTACAGTAATATTGAAACTTATTGAGTAAAGTTGGGTCATAAACAATGTTATAAGGTCTTGAGGCTAATATTTATTCAGTTTGTTGATTCATTCACTCCACCTGATCGGTGAAGAAACCGACTCCTGATTGATCCGGCACGAGCTGTGTCAAGCCATCGATCACCTTTCCCGATGCGCGAGGCGCCGGCCAATGGGGTCTCGCGGGGGCGGTCCGTTGCTAAGGAGGAAGTTTGGTTGAGTCTCCGCGGAGCAGCCATTCAGCGGCGGTGGCTGAAGCGATTGGACTGCCAGCGTCTCTCCCGACACTTTCTGTGGAATTTGAATTATTTCGGCACGGCACGGCACGGTTCGCGGTACGCGGGTGACGGCCTGAACGGGGCATCTTCTGGGTCGCAGCGGTGATCGCAGGTAAGCTCGGAAAAAACCGTCGCTTTTGGATTAGCAAAGCTCGTTAGCATCGCCCGGCTAAGCAGCGTTAGCTCGTGTGTGAGTGTGTTTTTTTTTTTTTTTTTCTCGGATGCGGCACACGCAGCTACGTTAGCTCCCGGTTACTGGGCTCTCTCTCTCTCTCTTTCCTCTCTTTTAGCTCCCTTGCTAACCCGACTATGAACAGAAAAAGCAAAAAATATAACCCGTGAAGCTGCCTCACACCGTTTATAAAAGCTCCACCGAAAAACACGGAGAGGTTATTTAGCTAGTTAGAGCTAAGGTTAGGTGAGTAGCTAACAAGTTACCTGGGCAACTTTAAGAACCTTGAGGACGTTACTCAGCAAAATGACGAGCCCACAACGGTTTTAAATCAAACCTTAACACGTAATTTGTCACCACACATCCTTATCACAGTTGTGTAATATCCTCGTTACAAATGCAGGCTGGCACTGAGGGAGTGAATTGTGCTTAGTGACTTGGCAAGTTTGTAAAAAAAAAAAAAAAAAAGTGCCACAATCCAGCGATCTGAAATCAATTTCAGCACAAGACAGCAAGCACTCTGCAATCAGACAAGCTGTGACTCACAGTCCTAACACATTTTTGTGCAGTGTGATAATGTGCCCCAGTTTATCTTATATGGAAATGATGTCTTTGCTGGACCTTTTATGAGAGATTTCCATTCTCTGACCCTGATCAGATGAACATCAGTGGTCAAATTACCTTCAGAGACAGACGCATGCTGGATTGTGTGATAGCCACAGCAGTCATTTGGCTCAAGCATCCTGTTTATTAGATGGTAACCCCTTTTGGATTCTCTCATTAGCCGTGCTGTTGTGTTGATGAGGTGCTGATTAGATTTGTGACTTGAATAATGCAGGATCTATTTTGGCTTGTAAAAACGTCACAGCGTGTTTGGTTACTTGCTTTGCGAGGAGACAGTGGTGTTGAAATCCAAGGTTGTTGTCAATTAGTCTGCTGATTGTTCCCTCAATTAGCCAAGGAACTGATGTGACTATAACTGGAGGTTGATCATTTGGTGGAGTTTTTTTTTTTTCCACAGCTGATACCAATAATTAATCGAGGAGATCGTTTACTGATGTTTGGAGCAGATGAAAATACAGTGCCAAACTCTAGAATAACACAAATTCTAAAACAAAACTTGTGGACAATTTATATTTTCGGTATCTTTTCAAAACATGTTAGATGTTATCTTGTGCATGGGGACACTTTGCTATTTTCTGAATAGGGGTCAACCAGTTATTGGCCTGGCTGATAATCAAACTGATATCCAGCAGTTGCTTAAATATTGGCATTTTATATGAGTATATTAATTCCGAATTGTGCTGTTGGCTCTGATTCAACTGCATTGGAAGTCTCAGAACAGTGTCCCTTCTGATTGATTGCACAGCACATATAATAGTCTTTCAGCACTGATGGATAAACTTCTTCAAAAATACAGAAAACAGAAATTATCCATTATTTTGTCTTTGAGTTTGTGTTATTCTAAAGTTTGGCACCATGCTTTTCTTTTTAACTGCAAATGTACAGCCGTGCCACACATGGGTTATTGATCTCCTTGATTACTAAAAAAATAGTTTCGGCCAAAAGCACCTTTTGAAATTAATTAAACTGCTGATATTTCAGGTAAATGCTGAACCTCGGATCTGACAATCAACCAAGGCCGATCAACTGTGAACCACTTGTCAGAAAATTATAAAAATGTCTGTTGTTGTATCTCAAGTACACAAGCTAACGTGTTCTTATTGTTTTTTTTTTCTATCAACACTCAATTTACTCCTGTTTATGGCAAAAAGGTGCCCAAAAATGTGTACACTTTTGAGCAGCCACTCATAATCGATTGATGGTTGCAGCTTCATAGCAGTGGTATGAGGACTTTAAAACTATTTGAATGTCAATAAAAATGTTCATTGTCGTGTCCTAGAGCAAGCTGATGTGCTCATATCACACTCAGTTTACTGCCGTACATGGATAAATGGCGTTAAACACTGCATGATGTCCGAGAGTCCAAACATTTTGCACATTTTGAGCAGTCACTCATGATCGATTGAATATCAAATAGTTTGAGCTTTATACCAATGGTACCAGGAGTTTCCAGGTTTTTGGAATTTTTGTATGTCTTTTGGAAGGAGAGAAGTCAGCTGTCAGCTTTTTTTTTTTTTCCTTCATTTTAAAGTATCTCGTGGCTGAGCTCATCTCACAGAATGAGGGAGGCAAGATCGGCTTTCTGCCAGCAAACCCACTGTGTAAGTCTGTCAGCTGTTTGAGAGAGGAGGAGAATGCAAGAGCAAGTCTCCGTCCGAAGCTTTGTGATTCATGCTGTGGGAGAAGCTAGCCTCACTTCGCCGCATATCGGTCGGTTCTCAAAAGAAGCCGAGGCCTTTTTCTCGGCGGTGAGCTCGGCTGTACATGTGAATACTGAGCAGTGATGCAACGCAGGTAGATAAACTTGCTGTGCAATGACGATGCAATCACAAGGCTTCACTTATGTCCCCTGATAGCACCAGAGATAGTTGAGCTCCGTGTTGTTTATGGCGAAATCAGAGTGTCAGCTTAGCTTTCAAGCCAGTGATGACTGAATCAATAAGAGATGACAGGAATGGGAGATGCGCCCCGATCCTCTTCTTCTTCTTCTTCATCAAACAGTTGTCATCCGCATCCTGTGCTTTTTGTCAACATCACTGCTCCCTAGAAGTATTGGAGGGATTGAACAAAACGCTCAGATGTTTACTTATTCACTTTGACTTGTGTGGGAATGTGAGAATAAGGATATGTAAACTCGGCTTCACTGAGGCGTCTGAAAAATCAGGTTCTCTTCCAAGCTAAGCCAGGTATTTTTTAGCAGTAATGAGAATGTAATCCAAATTTCTGATGACACGAATGTCGGAGATTATGACTTGAAAACGCAGAGCGCCATCGAGAACATCAGGTACGACAGCGGGATTTGTTTTGACACTCCTTTGCCAGAGCTTCAACGTTTCAGGATGACAGGTTACTAAACTGCTCGCTACAAAAGCTGCTTGCAGTCTAGAAGTTTTTTTGGGTTTTTTTGTACTTGCAATGCCCTAATTGGACAGCGTGACTCAAGATGAACAAAATGCACCAAGGTGAACTTGCACAGAGAAAATGAACTTCAAAATAAATAGCAGCCAAGGAAAGTTGGAAAAATGATTCTAATGATCCCGTCAGAGGACAAGGAGCATCATTAACATCCAGGTCTATTTGGTACCGCTGCATCCGTACAAAGAAGGCACACTGTCTGCACTTATTAGATCAACACGCAGCCACATATTCTTAGCTGATTGGGACCAGATCCAGCAGAGACACTCTGAGAGGATTCAACCAGAGGGGAGGTTTTAGAACCAGGATCTCAAATGTGCAGCTGACCCCATTTCAACATAAGTAGCCTAAAATAGGTTGTGTGGAACCGCAGAGTTGATTTGATCGTGTGTGTTTGATGTGTTTGTTGGTAAGCAGTGCCGTCGCCTGTCGCTGAAGACAGATTTTTGAACACAAATCAGGCGTTTTTGGAGGATCTGTTTCTCAGACTGATTGCAAACGATAAACAAAACATGCATCTTTGATTATGTTTACGCGCACACAAATGAGAAAACTGGTTAATTGTTGTGTTGTTCTTGCTGCTTCTGTATTCCAGCGTGTGTGTGGTTATATATCATTGTTTATATGCTATTGTAATTGAACACACGGCACATGAGATGTATTAGATGGTAGGTTTGTAGAAGGGGTCGAAAGGTTATTTCCCTTCACTTGCAGCAATGCTTGAAACAGTATTAGTGAACATTTTTATCTCTTTTTGAAGTAGTTTTAGCATGACTGCTTTGTCTGAGGTAGATGTTGACCAATTTTTTTTTTTTGAGGGACAGCATTGATACCGATTATTCTTAACCACGGAGACTGATAAATGATATGTGGAAGTGATGTAAAAATGAAAACAGTGATGTCAAAATTTAGAAAAACCCAGCTCAAACACTAATAAAATGCTTAAATGCTTTTGTTTATTGATCTTTCTTTACATGTGTGTAATTAAAAGAGAACTTTTTTACATTTATCCCCCCCGTTTTTATAGGCTATTACTTGTGATGTATAACAAATTAGTCAGTGACATCAGTAGACAGTTTTACAATTATTCATCGGCTAAAAACTAGCCATACAGATAATCGGAAAATGTGAAGAGTATTCGATTAGACCCCTAGTTTGACATATAAATATGGACGACATTGGCGAAAGTTTCCATCTTTACAGAAAATGCATAAACTAAACTGATGTGACTGTTTTTCAAATCAAGCGTCTGTCATCTGGTTGGAGGGACATTGTTTGAGATTACTGAAACAATGAGGAGTGGCTGCGTACGAACCAAAGTAGCGCATTTTTTGAGTGATTTATTTCATCAGACATCTGCGAAACAATGATGCCAATAATCCGGAAAATAAATATCAGATCTGTTAATCAGCCAGGTCAATAATCAATTCACTACTTGTCAGAAACTAAGAAAAATGCCCATTGTAGTCTCCCAAAGTCCAAGATGACATTTTCATTTTGCTATTTTTTTTCTGTCAACACTCAGTTTACTACAGTGTGTCGCACAAGTGGAGAGTATAAAGCATGACTCATGATCGATTGATTGTCAGATAGTTGCAGCTTTTCAGCAATGGTCCGAGGAGTTTCTAACTATTTGGAATGTCAGTAAAAATGTCCAGTATAGTGTCCATATAAATGTCTTTTGGAAGGAAATTTTAATTTGAAAATAACTCATGTCTCTGCTGTCTGGTTGGTCACTAAAGTGCTGCTATTCACTCTGTTTTATACAAACTGTGCAGAATTTGTATCTGTAGGCTGTTTCTCAGTGTCAGTATTTGGCTGTGTTAGCGCTCATTTAAGAAATGGAAAAACAACAGGGTAGGTGTTGTACTGCTTTGAATGCACTTCTTTGAGTGTCCCCA